TCTGGTTTATACTTCTCGCCAGTGAGGGCCTGCAAGGGTTCGAACGGTAAGGGCCTTACGCAGGTTAAGAGGCTGAACACTTGACTTGAGGCATGTAGGGCACTGCAGTCGATGATACAAGTCCTGCATTACCCATAATAAGGAATATACCATAATTCCTATAGTTCAGGCTCCTTAAGGCAATGCAGGATTTATATCATCAACAGTAGGACTCCGACTTTAGGTTTAAGTCAGGTGTAGGGATGTCGACTCTGGGGGGCCAGAGGAGCCACAAAAGCTGGCTAGGGCTCAAGGTTTAGCACGGGGCCTCCGGTTCTAGAGCAAGGATGTATCTGAAGAATCAAGGGGCCAACAGACTTACCCTATGCTACTTTGGGGTTTCCATACTATAGTTATAGAAGAATATACCCCCCCAAAACCCTATTCTGATTATCAAGGCCCCTATATACTACCCAATTCGAAACCACGCAGGCCACTGTATTCAGCACCAGAGCGATTGAGGATGTCGGAGTTCGAGATCCGCTGTCAGTTGGAGTGAGTGCCAGGGTTTAGGGTTTAGGATTTAGGGTTTAGGGTTTAGGGTTTAGGCTGCCTTCCGCAGCCATCGTTTCTTGCTGTAAGGGCTCAGCTTTCCTGAAAGTGCTGTGTCTTACCACTCCAACCCCACCTACACCCCTGGGCTTGGAAGCTTCTAACCGTTCTAACCCTTACCTGGACCCTCAAGTACCTACCTTTTTAAGGTTCCTTATTATGATTTCCTTATATGAGTCCTTAAAACAGTAGGTTCTTTAGGGTCCAGGTACCCTCAAAGGACTCATATGTTAAGGCTTTTGGGCCCCAAGACCCTATTTTTTTGGGCTATTTGGATGCTAAGGGTAAGACTCTAAGACCATCTGCTAGGCTTGGAGGCTGAGGGCCCCTTTCTCTGGAGTTTAGGGTTCAGGGGTTAGTTGGTCTTTCAGGGGGGATATAGGGCACAGGGTCTATAGGGGCTGGAGTTGAAACGCATTTTGTAAAAAGTACCCTGAGCACGTAAAATGGGAGTAAATAAGAATCATAATACTTCATAACACTAGCCAGTACCGTAGATGAATAACAATAATCGTAGGACCCATCTTGAACTTAAATACGAACAAGAGCATTCTTCACGCCAGTGATGAACAAACCCTGCTTCTGTGTGGGGCGCTAGTAAATAACAGGATGCGAGCTAGCGTCGTTTGTTAGTAGGTGCAGTGTTTAAGGAAATGGGCTCATTGTTGATCAAGGGTGCGCATTATGGGTTATAGTTGTATATAGGTTGGGCTTGCGGTTCAACGCCTCCCCTTGCCAGCTACAGATCGCCCATAAAGGAACCCCTTAAAAGATCCCGTGCAGGAACCCTTCAAAACCTAGCCTGAATCACCCAACAGAAACCCCTATACTACTCTAAGCCGCAAAGCCTAAACACTGAACTTCACTGAACCCTAAAACATTCGACCCTTCTCTGCCTTGGGAGTGGCGCCCGCCCTGGCTTTGGCAAAACCGACCCGAGCCTGCTGCAAACGGTCGAGGAGGATATCTAAGGACTCTATGGTTTTAGGACAATCTATAGGTTGCATGGTGGCTCTATAAGGGTTCTCTAGGTTTCATAGTTGCTTGATAAGGGTTCTACAGGTTTTAGAAGGGTTCTATCAGCTCTACCAAAGCTTGCACAAGGGTTCTATCATTTTTCTATTCTGGCTTCTATAAAGGTTTGGTGCGGTTTGAAAGAGGTCTGTCGGATTTCACAGAGCTTATATTAATATATGTTTTAACGGGCTCTCGTTTAGATATCAAGTAATTATGGCTGCTCTTCACGATAATCCCTAAACCCTAAACCCTAACTCTTGTTTCTGGCAATCGGTGAGTTTGCCCTGGGAGTCTTGGCTGTCCTAAACCCTAGACTAGACCGTAAGTGTTGCGGTTTGCGGTTCAGGTTCGGGTCATACAGGGGTCTAAATAATTACCAATACTATTTTGGGGGCTCCTTATTATAGTTCTACAGTAAAATATACCCCCAAGCCCTGTTCGAATTATTAAGGCCCCTACATTAGAGCGTCCCTGACGGTTCAGGATTTGTAGGATATGGCATTTAGGCTTTAGGTTTAGGGCCGTTTAGGGTTTAAGGCTGCGGTTGCTGGGGTTCATTTTGTTGTACGAAAGGTTTCTGCTTTCATGCTAGGAGCCCTGAGGTGTCAACACGAAGCTTTCGGCTAGCTATCCGGCCATGTTTCGGTTGTGTTTAGGGTTTAGGGTTTAGGGTTTAGGGTTTAGGGTTGAGGGGTTTAGGGTTTAGGGTGTGCATTACATACAAGGAGGTCACAGCATACTTACTTGCTTTTTATGGCTGGTATGTAACACTTGCCATCTGGCAATGTTTGCTATCAAGTGCCATTCTGATGCTGACCGTTCCAGCAGCAAGGGGGATTGACAAATAGGTGGTTGTCAAAATTATGGTCCCTTTTGGGGTACCCTAAATAATAGGTGCCGTATTATAATAAGGACCCAATAAGGGACCATAATTTTGACAATCACCCAAATCGCTTTCACCTGAAGGATCTTGGGGGCTCGGGAACCTAAAGCCTCAACACCCTAAACCCTAAACCCCAAAAACCCTAAACCCTAAGCTCCCAAAACACTCTAAACCCTAAACCCTAAACCCCAAAACACTCTAAACCCTAAACCCTAAACCCCAAAAGCCCTAAACCCCTGAGGCACTGTTGCATCCCCCGAACCCTAACAAGCCAACCTGCGAGCCGACCTTCCTCCTTAGTGAGGAATACTTGTTCATAGAAGCATTGTTTAGGGTTTAGGGTTTAGGGTTTAGGGTTTAGGGTTTATGGTTTAGGGTTTAGCGGTTTGTGTTAACTTACTATGTTACTATGATGTTTTTATAGTATGTATTTTATTCTTGTATGTTATGTTAGCCAAATGGGCCGGCCGAGTACCAATGTCGAGGGGTCGTTGTAGACATTTGGGCCTCAAATGAAGCCTGAACCCTAAATCCTACACTTTGTACCCTCAGCCCAACCCTAAACCTTAAACCGTAAACCCCAGGGAAGCATAATAAGAGACGGAAAGCCCGCGCAACATAAGGAATACACACGATCTGCGCAGCCCTATGCTCTATACTGAAGCTGTCTGAAGTGTAGAATCCGTGAAACCCCAAACCCTCAGAGCTCTCCAACAAGTCCCCAAAAGCGCTCAAGAACGGTAAACGCAAAAAGCTTCAATCTCTAATCCTGAAAAGCCCTCGAAGCCCTCTAAACCGAAATACACTCAACTCAAAATCCTGCCTCGCTCAAATTGCCACTGCCGCGGCTGAAGACCGTGAAGAAATGCCGCATGAAGACCTCGCAAGGCTTACTGCAAGTCAGGGTGTAGGTGTAGGGTCTTAAACCCTAAACCTTAAACTTGGGCTTAACGTTTTTCAGGACTTGCAGAGTCTAGAGGTTAGGAGCCCTTATACTGCAGGGGCCTGAATGATTAGAATGGGTTTTGGGCTCCTTCATAGTATATCTATAATAAGGAACCCTAAACCCTAAACCCTAAACCCTAAACCCTAACAATATGTTGGTAATTAGGCTTCTACATTATACTGACGGCCCAGGCCCTCAGCGTGTCCTCAAGTTGAATCCTATGGAGCTGTAGGGGCCTTAGTCCAGTGGCCTTCATGCTTGAGATGGGGTTTAGGGTTTAGGGTGTTTAGGGTTTAGGGTTGCTATAATTAAGAAGACATGGTGACTAACCATTCAGACCTGCAGATTATATAGCTCTCCACGGCCCGCTGAAAGCCGACTTTCACTCCTTCTATTCCCGAGCAGAACAGAAAAGGAGCACGAACTGGCCTGCCCCCCCACAAACCTATAGTGCCTAACGCATAGTAGAATATAAGACACCCCCCGGCAAACCCCGATTCTAACTGTCAAGGCGGCAACGAAACCATGGATGCACAGGCCACAAGTCCAAATCCGAACAGCCCACAGCCCCGAACGGATAAGCGGCTTCTTTCAAACGAAGCCCATGCTGAGAATGGCTCTTTAGGTTTAGGGTTTAGGGTTTAAGTTTAGGGTTTAGGGTTGGTTATATACCAGCCTCTTTAAAAAGAGGCCCATGCTGAGAAAGGCCGTCTGGTTTGAGAGCCTGTGTACGGTTTATGCGGCCCATGGCTTGCGGCCATTAAAGACCCTAAACCCCCAAGCCCTAAGACCCTAAACCCTAAAAACCTTAAAACCCCAAACCCTAAACCCAAAGGCCCTCAACCCTAAACCCCAAAGACCCTCAACCTAAAACCCGAAACCCA